AATGGGTGTGAATGCAAGTTTGGCCCTGATCATGTTTTTCTGACCTATACCTGCTACCACATCCAGCTGATGTCTCATATCTGAAATGACCGCCTCTGTGGTGTAGTGGTTAGAGCATCCGCCCGGAAAGCGGAAGGTCGCGGGTTTGATCCCCGACCGCGTCATACCAAAAGACGTTAAAATATGGTACTTGTTGGTCCCTGCCTGGCGCTCGGCATTAATGGGTGCAACAAGGACTGGTCGGCACGGAGTCAGTATAATGTGCCTGAGTGGGGTATTCATGCTTCACTGCGGCATGGTATCTCAGTGGGCTAGCACTATAAAACCAGCTTCAGTCTGGGCTAGTACAAGCAACCGCACCTACACATACACATGCATGCACGTCGTCATATGAGCGAAATATTCTCAAGCACGACGTTAAACCCAATTTCACCTCACCTCATATCTGAAATACAGTTTCGCATTCACAACTGATTCACACTGATAAGACTGACCAGTAGCTAGCACAGATAGTACAATGTCATGTGTTTCATCAACACTAGCACAGATAGTACGATGTCATGTGTTTCATCATCACTAGCACAGATAGTACGATGTCATGTGTTTCATCATCACTAGCACAGATAGTACGATGTCATGTGTTTCATCATCACTAGCACAGATAGTACGATGTCATGTGTTTCATCAACACTAGCACAGGATTTCAGCTAGTTCATTAGTTGCCACACCTTACCTTTAAAAAACATCACATGTGTTAAAATTACAAGTAGAAGTTCTTGCCATCACAGTATCTACTGGGTGAAACTAATCTGTTGTGGAGTTACGAGGAGCCAGTGATGGAGAGGTGATAAGGAAGGGAGTTGATGAGACTGGGTGTAACACCATCAGGGCGCACTCTAGTGGGATAGCGCTACTATTGATCTCAATACTGTGCTATAATGCACCTCATGAACAGTATCAACAAGTTTTTCATCCAGCCTGGCAGTCTCTGAAGATCTTATGTGTGACATGCAAGTGAGTCGTTAGCTCAATCAGTCGGCCTTCCTGGCACGTTCTCGTGTCCATAAAGAGGACATTACAGATGTGACAGATGGACTGTGGCACGCTGAGAATTGTACAGTCCCAAGATCATATTTAGAAACATTTAAGGATATCCTGGTGCTAGTTGAGGATTTGGATGTGTTGATTTGCTGCCTGACAGATCCTAAGGGTTGAAAATAAGTACTGAGATAGGTGTCAGTGGATGTTTAGGTCTTCAGCCATCTTTCCACAATGATTTTGTAAAATAGGGTGTGACATCCATAGGTCTGCTGTAGTATGATCATCAGGCACTGAAGTGATGGAGGGTGGTTTAATGGCCTAATAGATCTGCAGTGGAATGTCTCAAGCAGAAAAGGTTTATTTCCCAGATAGTTATAACAGATCTAGGTGTAGGTGCCCAGACATTTTTCTGTTTGATATTTCTACATGGTCTAACACATGACAGTGATTGTGGTTTGGAACAGTTGCAGCTGTACGTTACATGCAGAAACATCAGTGCACACACCGGAGTGGCACAGATTGTATCGGAGGCTGTGTTAGAGAGGTTGTCTGAGGCTGTGTTAGAGAGGTTGTCTGAGGCTGTGTTAGAGAGGTTGTCTGAGGCTGTGTTAGAGAGGTTGTCTGAGGCTGTGTCAGGAAGGTTGTCTGAGGCAATGTTAGAGAGGTTGTCTGAGGCTGTGTCAGAGAGGTTGTCTGAGGCTGTGTCAGGGAGGTTGTGTCTGAACAAGTGTTCTTTTAATTTATTCCACTGGATTGCTGTGACATGTACAACTGGCTGGATGTCATTTTTTCAACATTCCAGCTTTTCCAACGCTCATATGCCAGGGAGTGTCCTCAGTCTGGCTTGTTAGGGTGACCTCTATCATATAGCGACCTCCATTAGTTCAGTAATGTCTGATAATAACTGTACATGCCATGCACTAGTCTGTCTCACAGTCCCTGAACCACATTATTTTCCCTAAAACCCAGCCCTCCCTGCAATACAAAAGCCCTAAATGAAGCAAGTCTAGGTTCCCCAGGTTCAGGTCTCCCAACTCCTGGGACTCCTTTTCAATTTAAATGGGTTTATTTGTTACTATCAAAATTATATATACATTCAGGGACTAAGCATTATTCTTAGCCACACACATACTAGACTCAAATCAATCTAGGGTCATAGCCACAGAGTGCATTCAAATCAAAATAATTGATGGGGGAGAAATTGCTCAATGTTTCATTGATAATGTTTCAATTATGCATGAGACTCTCCATCAGTTGTGATTGATTGTTAAAAGTGCATTTTTAAGTGCAGTATGACGTTATTTAAGCTATCTTCGCACGCAGTAAATGCACTGGTTAATTTATTGTTGAACAGCAAGATTTAGGAGATGTGTTCTTGCAAACCAGAGCCTCAACTGTTGGACTTGACACACTGATCGTGTAGAGTTACCAACTGCTGGACTTGACACACCCATCTTGAAGAGGTGCCAACTGCTGGACTGGACGCACCCATCTTGTAGAGTTACCAACTGCTGGACCTGACACACCCATCTTGTAGAGTTATCAACTGCTGGACTTGACACACCCATCTTGTTGAGTTACCAACTGATGGACTTGACACACCCATCTTGTAGAGTTACCAACTGCTGGATTTGACATAATGGTTGTGTGGAGTTACCAACTGCTGGACTTGACACAACCATCTTGTAGAGTGACACACCCATCTTGTAGAGTTACCAACTGCTGGACTTAACATAATGATTGTGTAGAGTTGTCAACTGCTTGACTTGACACACCTGTCTTTATCAATGTGTCATCATACCCTGAAGGTGTTGGATTTGACACACCTGTCTTTATCAATGTGTCATCATACCCTGAAGGTGTTGGACTTGACACACCTGTCTTTATCAATGTGTCATCCTACCCTGATGGTGTTGGACTTGACACAACTGTCTTTATCAATGTGTCATCCTACCCTGAAGGTGTTGGTGCTCAACTGCTCAACTTGCTTGTCTTTATCAATGTGTCATCCTACCCTGATGGTGTTGGACTTGACACACCTGTCTTTATCAATGTGTCATCCTACCCTGATGGTGTTGGACTTGACACAACTGTCTTTATCAATGTGTCATCCTACCCTGAAGGTGTTGGTGCTCAACTGCTCAACTTGCTTGTCTTTATCAATGTGTCATCCTACCCTGATGGTGTTGGACTTGACACACCTGTCTTTATCAATGTGTCATCATACCCTGAAGGTGTTGTACGTGACACACCTGTCTTTATCAACGTGTCACATACCCTGAAGGTGTTGGACTTGACACACCTGTCTTTATCAATGTGTCATCCTACCCTGAAGGTGTTGGACTTGACACAACTGTCTTTATCAATGTGTCATCCTACCCTGAAGGTGTTGGACTTGACACACCTGTCTTTATCAATGTGTCATCCTACCCTGATGGTGTTGGACTTGACACACCTGTCTTTATCAATGTGTCATCCTACCCTGAAGGTGTTGGACTTGACACACCTGTCTTTATCAATGTGTCATCCTACCCTGAAGGTGTTGGACTTGACACACCTGTCTTTATCAATGTGTCATCCTACCCTGAAGGTGTTGGACTTGTCACACCTGTCTTTATCAATGTGTCATCCTACCCTGAAGGTGTTGGACTTGTCACACCTGTCTTTATCAATGTGTCATCCTACCCTGATGGTGTTGGTGCTCACACTAATAAAACTGTCCGATTGTTTCTCAGTGCTTGTAACAATTACAATTTGAACATAGCTGTACTATAGCGGTGCACTGTGTTAAACTTCATCTTTGCACTGTCTCCTGTCAGGAAACCTAAATCAAGCCCCTTTAATCACAGTTTTGTTAGCACAAATCTGTAAATAGTGTTTAAGGTATGAGCTTGCAGTCGTCCACCATTGATTGAACATTTGCTATTTCTGTCCCTCTGAGCATAGATCTATCAGTTCCTGTTAACACTGTGAAGCGATTTCTATGAAATCTTTCAAATAGGTTTTCCCTGTAGAAAGCCAATACTCCCTGCCTGGAATCTCACCAATGTAATATCTCTCAATTCCTGACAGCCAATGGTACTTCATACACTGCTGGTCTTGGCTTGTGTTTATTTGCACTACTACATTAGAGTCTCTGTATTGAAGATCAGGGAATGGATAAAGGGCCCTGCTCTAAAGACATTCTTTGTTATATGTGTTCAGAAAGAAACCTCTGTTTTGAGGGGAAACAAGACTCTGATACTGTATTGATTCCTACAGAGTGAGTGCGCCTGTGATCACACCAATGATATAATAACCTGTAAAGTAACATGGATCCTTTCAACTGTATCATGATTATTTTGAACAGGAAACAGTATTTGGTATATTCAGCTGTTTTAGTCAATTGAAAATTATGATCATTTGGAAAACTAAATTGGATTGCTTCATTAACATTTTTTCTGTGAAATCATAGATGAAATTAGCATGTATTTCTCCAGGAATTCAGATGTATAATACATTAAGGGCTGTTAATGTTTCAACCGATAAGTCTGGAATATATTCCAGCGATTGAATATTTCGAACTGTAAGTTTATTGATAGACAGTGTATATTTTGTGTTAGGGCTTCTCTAGGCAAGGGACTCACTCCATCTGAGACTTGTCAACTTGGTTATTGGTGAATGAGCTCTACCATAAGTGATTGGAAAACAGAACAAATATTGACAAGTAGAACAGACGAGGGAATTGGATTTGGGATCAGAAAAGATATAAGGATTTTTTAGGCATGTGTGAATTATAAAATGACTTTTACCATGCTTGGTTCTTGAAGTTCTTGAATAGTACAATATTGATGACAGACGAAATAAAAACTTCATAATGATGAGTATCTGGTTCTACTTGTCCAATAGTAATTGGAGTGCTTGTCTAATTGACTTTTATTGACTTTTTATTGATTCACTCTTCAACTGATACATTTCAGATGCACAAGTCAGGTGACGACTACCCAGCCTCCTCGCTCTAAGTCGGAGTACAACCTGCACCAGCTGATAGATGATTGTAACAGTCATGACAGCAAGGACAACGTGGATGGTGATGCCAACCCTGGTGAAGATTCTCCACGGCAGCAGCAACAATGTAATCCGCTAGCAAGCAGACACACACCACACAGACCCACTGAAGCAGCACCAGTAAAAATCAATATGTCTGAGAGAGCCTCTGAAATCTCCAACACCTCCCCACACCGAAGGGTACCATGTGTTGATAGCAATGAAAGGAAATGTGTTAGTTCTGGTGTGTCGAGGTCGCGGGATACGCGCACAAGTCTCTCTTGTCAGAACTTGGGTGAGATGGCAGGGGACAGGGTGCTTCAGGTGGTGACGACTCCGGCGACTCTCCCAGCAGGTGTGGCAGAAGTGGAATCTGAGGTCAACATGGAGAGCACCTGCACACCTGTGCACCGCTCACACTCCGATTTAAACTGTCGGCATGTGCGTGATAGCTCTGTTGCCTCGGATAAGAGTTCTCGGTATTCAAGAGCAAGTGCTGATTTAGAAAAATTCTTCAATCAAATGGGACTTGAGAGAAACGTGTTAGACCCCATGTTGCGTTTGCAAGAAGTTCAGGGCAAGAAAGAGTTTGAAATGTTTGAAAGTGTGAGTTCACTAGATTCTCCCGACACAAGAAGCATATGTAGCGGAGTGTCACGCAGTGAGAAAGCTCACTCTGACACAGAGGCAACAGACAAGACACTCAGTACATCAGTAGTAGAACGCAATGCACGAATTATTAAGTGGTTGTGCAGTGTAAAGAAGGCAAAGACAAATGTTCCTGGACATACCTAACCAGGTTGTGTTGTTAAGTGTGTTGCTTCATGTGTTGCTTCATGTGTTGCTAGGTCCAGTGTGTGGGCCACTCCAGTTCAGCACTTGGAGCAACAAACAATATGCGAAGATTTATGCGAAGATTTAAAATCAAAAGTTTTGTTTTGTTTTGTTTTCATTGTTGATAAAAGTGGGCTGCTATCAAAATGGTCACAGTGAAGATGATGACTCAGTGTTATCAGGAAGGGTATCTGTGTGATATGTTGAGTGCAAGATCCCGTTGAATGAGACCGCAGTCCCTGGAAGGCCTGGTCCTACAGTGGTGAAAGCAGGACTTGAAGGATTATACATATCTGTACTCACCTCAAGTGCTTTCAGTGTAGATGTGTTTTTGTATTCATACTTTGCTCTTTTACCAGAAGCAGCAGTTAACGAGATCATAAAGGTTGTTTCCAGTTCACATGTCAAAAAATGAAAGAAAGAGTCTTTTTTTAACATGAATTTTAATTTCAGTCCTTCTGTATGTGTACTGGGTGTTGTATTCTCACAGTTCATGGCCCCATTCTTACAAAGATCTATACTCTACAACAGCAGAATGTCTGTGTAAGGAACTGGAGCTACAACTTGATGTCAGACCTGTGATTGTGGTAACAATAACAGTGCTCTCGGAGGACTTTATTACCACACTGCTAGTTATGTTTAGGAACTTTTTAGTTGAAACACATAAACTACAGGTTGGACACAAGAATATTCAATTTCCAGATTAGGAAGTTAGTTGTGGGAGAGCACATTTGATGTGAGTCTACTGGCAGCAACCTTGTTGGAAGTGGCAGATGTTTGTGAGGTTTGAGTAGCTGTCAGGGTTATTTGTGTTTGCTATCACAGATGGCTTGGGTGCATATTAAGTTGAATGTTATGCAGTGCTGTTGACTGTTCAAGCTAGGGATGTCAGCATGTGACATGAAGCATGGACATTTTAAAGATTATGTATCTGCTGTAATTGAAACTGCTTCTGTGAATCTGTATATATGAATTGTCCATACACCTGAAAATTTTTACATACCTCAATATGTCTGGCTTTGTTAGAGGATATGTGGTCAGGACAAAGGTGAACATCAGGCCATTTAGTGTTGTTTGAGAGTGATTTTTAGTAAGTCTGAAAATGCCTTTACTTATTTAATTTATCATAAATAATGATAAATATTATTGTAATAACAATTCCTCCACATATTTAATGAACAGCTAGAGATGAGCCAGATTAACTTATTCAAAGTTAAAGGGGAGCTAAGTGGGTGCATATTTAATAAATATGCTATTAAGCTAAATTGGAGAGATTTTTGCCATTGAATATATTGAAATATGTAAGCATCACATCAGCCAGTAGTAATACTTCATATTGTATTTACAGAGTATTGTTGATATATTTATCACCTTATGACAGTGGTTTGTTTTCAAACATTAAAAGAATGTGCAATAATATATACAATAAATTGTGTGTTCATAGTCCAAGCAAGATGATGTTGCAATTTACTGAAATATGACTATTTTAGTATGGATAATATAAATGTTTTGATGATTTAATTGCCAGTTTTTAACAGTACAAGTGTGCAATTCTTCAGCTATTTTGAATTCTGTATTTCTTGTACTGTGTCGAGGTTAGTGGATAAAATGAAGTAATATTTTTAATAAATATATATGAAATGCATATAATTTATTTAATGCATACTAGTTTGATATTTTTCACTGATATAAATATTGAGTCGATTGTAAAAGCTATTCATTCATATGATCCTGTTGCATTACCTCAAAACTGCATATTATTCCAAATTTCTATTTCTGAATATCATCTAAGATTCAGTCGAGTTGTGAGCCTCTACAAATGTTCATGAATATATTTGTCCTACAGATGCTACAGACCAGTTATTTTGGTGTTCATGTTGCTGTTGTGCATATATCTAAATCTGCAGTGACTGCAAGTTCCTTGCATGAATGAAAATATGCTGATCACAGCATGGCTGTATGTACCTTGCAGTCAGAGATCTAGTTTCTGTGCAGGTAACTGTACAGACTGTAAGAGCCTGAAGGAGACCTGACAGGAAGGGGTCCTTGAACCAGCGAAAAGGGGTCGCTTCTATGGCAGGGATTGAAAGTAACAGTCATCTATAGGCCTGACGCTTATAGAAATCACCACTGACTAAAATAATATTTTTGTAATATCTTGCAGGGACTGTAAGCTTTTGACACATGATGTATATTTTTTTTTTTTTTCCCCATTTAAACCTGCATCATGAAGCCAGCACAGAGTCTTAATATGTGAATGTTTTTATGGGACATGAAATATTTAATTCAGAAGTTTTATTTCATAGGGCTAGTAACATTTTGCAGGGCTCTCTCCCTGTAGGCTTGTTTGGTTTGTCAATTTTTATGGTTATTCCCTACCGCTGTGACTGGAGCAAGTGTAATGTAACCTGAAGTTGTACTTATCCTCCATATGGGGAGATTCTTACACAGCGCACTTATGGTATTTTCACAATAACACAGGATGATGTGATATAATATAAACTCTTTAAGTCTCACACACGGACAAAAGTGTTGTAGATTATGAACATATCTATATATATTCATATCCCATAACTACACATTGTAGGTGACTTGACTCACCAATCAGAATGAAGTATTTCCAAATTCATGGTAGAATAAATTTTGATGTTTATGACATGTGTGAATCATTCGGGTGTACACGCCATGGTTTTGAAAGTTAGACTAGTTGATCAGTTGCCAAATACATTCCTTCAGCCAACAGACTGACCTGTAGATTGATGACATTCATTGCGATCATCATGTTTTTTATGAATTCATTTTAGAAGTGTTTGATTGTGTTCATTTATTTAAGACCAAAGACATATACTTTTTCTTCCACCATTCATCCAAACAATGTGAATATACCAGCCAATCATAGCTTCTCGGAGAATCAACATTGCTTTTGCAAACTGCAACTTTATGTGTTCTTAATGGCCAAAAATAGTTGACTGGAATGTATCTTTACCTTATGTGCATAACTTAAAGATTTATGTACAAAAAGCCTATGCAAAACTGATTTACAAAGAAGCAAGGTTGTGCACAGACTGCTGAAATCATTTCTCATACAGTCTTCATGTTCTTACAAATGCTTAGATTTTGTATTGATCAATGGAGTGCCATTGAAACAGAAGTCATCTTTTTGTGACAGCTAATCCAAGGGAGGTAACTCTGTAATAAGGCCTGATTAGAGTACTTGATCTTGAGGTTGAAAATGTATGTTTATTTAACAGTGCATAAAGTATAAGTGGCTTGACTTTGTATTAATCCAAACTAACATAAGAACTCATATATGCTGGAAGTGCTTGTACTTATCTGTGAATAATGGAGATTTTGTGTACAAATAATGTATACACACATGACTTCTAATGAGGGGCATTTTAGAAGTTGGAGGTCAGATAGAACAAGTATATATGGATGACAACTTCTTTTATTCTAGAGCACGACATTTCGATACAGGTTCTTGTATCGTTTTCAAGTAAGAATTGTGATCCATATACACTTGTTCTATATACACATGCTTGTTAACATAGGATGTGGCAAGCTTATTAGGGGATGTTACAATCACAGAGACCACCTGATCTGTACTGAAATAATTATCCCTACCTTACATTGTTAAAAGTAAATTAGTATATTGATAACTGATTATTTGGCCTTTTGTGTCTCAGTTGTTAATACTTAATATGCAGGAAATCTATGTTTGTGGTAAATGTTGTTACATGGCTAAATTATTGCTGAGGTGCCAGTACATTTAAATTCTTTGGAGAGATGAAAAAGGTTACTGTCCAGGAGACTGTAACTGTATCCTCTAGTCTTACACCTGGATCTAGTAAATATTTGGGTAAACTATTAAGCTCAGCTATTTTATGATCAAGTCCCTGATACTAGTTCTAGGCAAGTACACGTCCGTGTTTTGGCACACAGTTAAGGAACAGTGAGGCTGTTATTCTTTTTCCAGTAATGAAATATAAATTTGCTATACTAGATTTTCATCTCTGAAGGCAAGAAAGTAACTTCACATCCCATGTTATATAACAAAAATGTCATTTCCTGAAATGAAAACATCTCATGGAGCTGTCATTGCACAATTAACGACCTTTGTCTTTTATGGTATAGATCCTTCTTCACACAGCTGGCCATATACAGTAGGTCCTTTACATGTTTGGCATTGACACCAGTTACTGTTCTGTTTTCCATTGTTAGCCAGAGATGCTGAAAAGTTTGCTGCCCAAAATAAATTCATCAGGAAATCAAGAAATGTGTCTGTCATTACTGCATGAATATTAACTTTGTTGTTTTACACTGCACCGTGTGTCACTCCACAATACAAACATTGTCTTGACAGACTGGGACAGTGTGATGCCATCAAGTAAATCAAATTCCAAAATGCAATCACCTCTTGGTAACAAAGCTTCACTATACATACCTTCATTAATAAGTCCTGAGTGTAATAACGCATTCCCCTGCAAGCGATCAGCTGGACATAAACACCGGCTGACACATATGTCATATCATATTACTTCCATTCAGTAATTCAGGATTGACAGGGTAGCATGGTGGTTTCAGTGCTAGTCACTTGATTGCCCACACGGGTGACTACCTTGTGTGATGTCCATTTCTGGTGTCCCCCTGATACTGCTGGAATATTGCTGAAAGCTGCATGAAGAACAACTCGCTCAATAAATAAACAATTTAGTTCCATAAACCAGAGACCATATACTGATCTATTACATGGTCTCTGAATGAACATAGATCTGGAATGTGAAAACATTAAGTATGACTGAGAATTTATGCTAGAGCAGGCAGAAAGTGATTACCTGGTAAGATCACTTTGTTGAGCATTAGCTCCAGACATGACCATTGATCCATACACTCATCAAATTGAACAAGTATCCATCCTACCAGCAGTTTTCAAGGTGCGGCATTGTTTGGTTCAGTCATGCCCACATGATGAGAAAAATTGATTGGAAGAAACTGGTGCAGCCAAATGATTCAGTAAGAACTGATTAACATGTGGATTTGTTTGCCCAGTGATTGGGCAACATTAAGATATTGGGTGGAAGACCACCAGAATAGATGAACTTCAGCTGTCACCTACATGAATATATCATCATACACTTTTCAATTATATTGGCTTACAGGGGAAGAAATCCACCTCAAAGGAGACATTTGTAGCAGTTGAGCATGATTCTTGGCTGACTTAAAGTGAAGTCCCCAGCAGAGACAAGTACGCCAGAAGAGAAGCATTAAAGTGGACAGGCAGCCCATTTGTCTTAGGCAGGACAAATTGCTGTTCAGTGTTAGGTATGGCAGGATCCAATGATCAAGAGTGTTAAACATGTTTAACCTATATTGTGGGCTTTCTTTCTATGCACATGGAAAAAAGTGTCGCAGGAACCCATATTTTTCATAGGATCAATATGTTACCATTAACCATGGCTAAGGCAACTTATTCAAACATAATTTATCTTATTTCTGGATAAACTGACCACCAAGGAATGAATTTAATGGCAAATCTAAATGCAAAAAAAGAATGGCAAAACTATTTTATTCATAGAAGCAAACATGGCAAAAAATTGACACTTTCTTAGTCCCGTTAACTAGGGGTGGTTAACCGGTATATCGCAATTCAAACATCACAATACGATTTATTGCAGTACACTTTCCACGAACCGGTTCTCCCGATACGATCGGTAATTTTCGTGGTGTAGTCAAAACTACTAATAACATTTGTATTTCCTTTATATTATTATACATTAATAGTTTTGAGAATGTTTATTGGTCATATAATTGCATTTGCGGGACTTTTCAACCATTTTAGTAAAAAAAACTAGATTTGTACCGGCACTCGTATGGATAAACAAACCAAATTGGCGGACGCCACTGCAGACGCTTTTTCTCAAGTTCCAAACTTTAGAGCAAAGTTTTCAATTTGGAAACATTTTCAATTGATCTCTTGTACAATCACATCTGAGTCCTGACAGTGGCCAGTGGCATCGTTTCAAAAGAAAGGAAACAGTAATTTCATTCCCTTGACCCATGTGTTACACTTTAACAATATATTGCAATACATATTGCAATACGCCAACACATATCGCAATACGAAAATTTTGGCAATACCCAACCCTACTGTTAACTGTGGTCGTATGATGTTAACACGTCATTTACATGATTCTGGCTTACAAACCTCAAGAAATCACATAAGTATCAATAAATGAGCACAATGTTTGAAGTACCCTTTGCGATCGACTTTAACACTGAGGTATTGTTCTCTAATCTTGACAGAAGGCTTGTTCCAGTACATCAAGATTTTGTACTGATGGCCCCTCTGGCATATTCTGTAACAAATATGCTCAACGGGATTGAGATCTGGATTCCTGGTAGGCTCAGGTGGAATTTCTACCACCTATTAACGTAAGAAATCACCAAAAGCATGTGCAAGATCTGGCCGAGCATTGTTGTCCACAAAGCCTGGCCTTGTGTTCAGAGGGTGGTCATCGAAATATGGTACAACAACCTTGTCTTAAGGATGACAGTGATGTACCATTGTCCATTCAGATTTTGTCTGACCATCAAAAGGTCAAGTTTATAGCCATGTGAGGGGCACCCTGACATCATCAGTGAACTCCCACAAAATGGCACTTGCTCAAAGATATTCAGTTGTGCATTCAACTGGCAAATACGACCATGGCCATCAGTGATGAACAAAAGAAATCATCTTTCTTCTGACAAGTGGACCCTTTCCTATGACCTCAAATTCAAGTGACGTCAAGCTTGACACCAAGCTAGTCATGCATTGTGCTCTGGGGATAACATCTGATGTCTATCATTAATGTTGCGATACCTTTCTTCCATTTGGATACATTAAGCTGAAATAACACAATTCTGATGAATCCTCTACCTTTATTTCCACTACTTTATTGCCATAAGTCCTGTACTGTATTTTGGCTGCAATCACATTGTAACTAAAATTTTTGATTTTTAATCAAAGTCATCATCACTGTCCACTATACACAAGTATTTGTTCCCCAAACATCACTGACAGCATACAGCTTTCTTGTGTGCAAAGGCAGGAAATAACACTTTGGGTTCGCCTCGAGCAGTCACACATTATTAGGTTAGGTATATTATATACAATAATATACTATTTTTGGTTTTTATTCATGTTATTGGTCAAGTGTGTACATGCATGATATGCTACGCTCTTCTACTTCTGCCCGATCCATGGATCTATTCTTACAGCTCCAAGATGTCCAGCACCACAAGTCTGCAATGCACCAGCTGGGTAGTTGCCCTGATGATCCACCGCTCCAGGAGTCCTGAACACATCACTCACTCAATGATATCCAGTATCATTACCTTAAGAAAAGCCAAAGTCCACCAGATCGTCCAAGAACCACACTGCTCCCACACAGACTCGTGATGCATGCTGTCTACACTGAAGCCTTTCCATACACCTTCAGGACACCTTGAGCCTAATGCTGCCTTCTGTTATGGGTCTTTTCTGTCCTTAATACAGTTCTGACTCACATTCCTGGTCAACTATCAACAACTCCACACTGATTGCTTGCACAAGAGGGGCAGCAGCCATGGTATCCAGCCAGGACAGTTACCTTAGATAACCATGGATCACATTCAACCCACAAGGTTACACAAAGCTCCATTTGCACATATTTACTTATAATTGCTGAATCATGGACACTGTTACAAAAAGATTTAGACGTACACATATTCCCTTCACAGTATGGATAGCATACACAAATCTATGGATCTTTTTGTTTACTCCCAATCTTCAGAGTTACTATATTGTGATTACAGTTCAGGAATTAGGAAAAAGGACTTTGACAATGGGCCATTTTCAGGATTATTAGCCATTTTCTGAATTTAGAATGGGCCACTGCCTTTGTATCAATAGTAAACTTTAAAATTGTAATGGGCCATTTTTGTTATTCTAATGTGCAAAATGGCCCATGGCCTCTGCCTTTCCCAATCCCTGACAGTTACACGTTTTTACAGCATTTAATGACAGTATTGCAATCAAAAATGGAGCAGACTGAGTCACCACACATGGATGAATATGTGAGAATCCCAAACCAACTCATTCATGGAGACTATTCCATTGTTTGTCATGGCAGATTCACCAACTCATCAACATGGAAATGGGACGATATATACGAGAGAATTTGAACATTCTTGTGGACAGCCCTTCCCAGAGTGTAACAATGGAATGGACACTTCATCCGGATGTGTTCTTGTGAATCACAACCGCATGGGACATCTAGATCTTCCAGCCACTGTGTCGCCATGTCTGAACCAGACTGCCAGTATATCAGTTCAGTACAGCTCAGTACATGTTGATGCCAAATCGATGGACTGGACAAGTCTCCATGCATACATGTTCCCTTCTTGATCCCTCCTGGACAGGGTTGTATTAAAACTGGAAGACATTTCATTCAAATGATGCCGGAATCCTCAATCAATCTCCACATACTTGAAGGCATGTACATTATCCACTGTCCTATTCCAGTTCTTAAACATAATCTCTCTGTACTAACCAACATCACTGATGCCGAAAACGACTTTTCATAGACATGGACATTACTTAAGACTGATGGCTGTTTGTTCAAATCTACCATGGTGGAGAGTTTCCAGTGAGTCCAACATTGAAACCACAAATTTGAAACCGGACCTCGAGGGTAGCTTTGATTTCGGAATAATTCAAGTGGCATCCAAAAGGAAGTGAAATCACATCCAGGAGTAATGAAGACGGCAAGTGACGTCATCAATGTCACAGGGAATTAGGACGATGTCACAGTGATGGGAATCAAATGGAAGTGACTTCACAAATGTAAAGAACAGGAGGCGATGTCAAAACTGGATGTACACAGGGCCAGGAAGTAAATGATGATTTCTAAGTGTTTCAGAACATCTAAAAAAGTCTTGAATTACAGATTGGCGAATATAAAAATAGGTCACAGGAAGGTATCACATATTTGACTGATTCTGAGACTTATTCAATTTCAGCTCTCTGGGACTGATCAAACAAGAAATTATCTCCTATCACTATCACTATCAGGATTGGAATTATTTGAATATAAGAAGATAGTATGACTGTCAACTATAAAGGGAGTTAATGGAGCCAGAACATTCTATTCTGTCTGTTTTTTTCTAGCAGTGAGGATTAATAAAAATAATCAAGCCCTTAGATATCATTGTTAATAATTCTGTGAATACAGCCTCTGTGGCATCAGAAGTACTGACTCTCACCTCATCAGAAATTTGAGTTACAGTGTGATTGCAGCCAAAAGACAGGATTTATAGTATTGATGTAATAGATAGTATTCTCAGAATCCCTAACAATGATAACTTTTGTTTTGCTACCCCAGCACTAATGAAATATTTAAATGGAAAAACTATAGGACCTTGTATAAACTATATGTTCAGTGTGATTTGTTACCACATATATAGTATTATTCTGTTATTCGGTCCATGGGGATACCAAGAATGGACAACACATTGTACCCATTGTACCCAAGGGATTGAACCTTTGTCTTTAGTATGACAAGTTAAATGTTAGGTTACACTGTTTCTCATTTTAAACACAAATCACATCATAATTAGCAACAAATATTTATTGATAACACAATAATGGATCCATTGTTGATAGGAATAACACAATTACAAACCATAACACACACACACACAGAGGTGTGCTCGCACTCATGCACGCGCACACACACACACACACAGGTGCACTCACGACGCACGCACACACACACACACACACCAGATATATATTAATGAAACTTGTATGCAGTATAACTTTCTATAAATCAATAAATATAATATAAATGAATAACATGTTCCATTTTAACAGTATGAGTATTGATGACAGTCCATTTCAACTATAACAAAAACAGAAGCAATTCATGTAATCTATTTTGGTCAATAGAAACTATTTTGATAAATCTAGGTGTCCAAATACACTTTCATTTCCTATTGGGTTTGATTTTTAATTACAAGAACGGAACACAACTGTTGTGAGAAATATGAACAATAAAGATATAATTTGATAACATTCAACATGAAACAGTAATACTATCACAGGCTAAGCTAAGATGAGCGCCTGAAGAGGCCAGTGAAAGGCAATGTGCAAACACACCTTTACACTATAAAGTCTAGATACATGAAATCCAGCACTGAAAACAGTACAAATAACTGAACACCATTAAATATTTGAAAAGGTAGAAGCAGTCTTGAATTACACAAACTCGAGTAATTCAATCCAATGTTCACAAAGCACGTTTGCAATCAGCTGACATTTTGTTTGACATTATCACAATTATCCTCAAGGAGCATTTTAGAAGTTATAGTATAAAGAAAGACAAGTTGACATGGATCTCAACTTCCTTATTCTTTCAATGTGACATTTGAGTACAGATGCATGCATATTAACCAACGTAATGATGATGGTACTAAAGTACTGTCGGAAATAGAAAAAAACCTGTTTTCACATTTATCTCTACACTTTTGTTGTTAATATGTGAAAGCATGAAATATCTGTTAAACTAAGTTCGGCCTAACTACAGTCTCAGTGGTAGGGGGATAGGAAACGTAAAAAACAAAAATTTTACTGAGGAAAGATTTGTCCAAAGCAACTTATTTGGAATAAACCATGGCTTTATGCAAATTAGTGTGCGATGATATTGTATTACAAAGGAAACTTTTTAAAAGCCCATCTTGAAATTAGACTTAGCTTCATTAGAAACGAAAGCTGATGTAAAAAGTAATAACTTTAATACTGAAACTGTTAAAGATGTAGCTAACATGGAGTCTCACTATCACTATAAAAAAAAACAGGTAGGAGGGGTCGTAAGGTCGGGTCGGGGCATAGAGATAAGATAAGATAAGATAATCCTTTAGGAGAATTAAACTGGGGAAGTAAACCGCATGTCATGACAATTTACAAATAATATCCAGTCCTGTAGATCTTCGGGTAGTCATGCCACCTATCCATTTTGAGATATTAAATGTGACGGCTGATTTAAGCTTTCCTATGGGTATCATACTCTTTTACATATCTCAACATAAGCCTTATCAAAGAAAGACACGTAAGATGAGACATGTTTAACATGACATGAAAAATACCTTTGAGATGATCCCTTGTACCTGTAGGTAGCACATGCCTTTCATGCCAGGTGAGTCGACGGCCATTGCCATACCTGGCTGAGTGACCTAATTGCCATCTATAGTCTGATCTGTTGTTTTCAGCAGCTATTCATAATTTTTGGTGCGATTTTATGAGTAAACATGCTTTTCTGGATATCCTATTATGTACCCTACTGAACGCCCCGTTGGGCCGATGTGGGTTATTTCGGCATATGCTATTTGCAATTGTGTAAATTTTAGGGATACAGAGTAACAACCTAAAAACAGGTTTTATTAATTTTGTAAACACAGCAGTCAAACATGAGAATTTCTATTTATTTGATTTAGATACATTCAAGATAGGATATACCGCATTTCCATCTATATAAATTACTAGTGCTGGTTATCACTTACATTATGCAGAACATTAATCACAGTTCATTAAATGATCAATAATCAAGCGAAATAATATACCCTATCACAAAAGTCATGCGGGCAATAATGGGACACAATCCTAACATTGTGCAAACAAGCCAGGCACCGATTAATACTACAATCAAGACAATCAAGGATACTTCCTGTTGAGACACACACGCGATGATGATGTTTACATTGCAGTTTTATGAGGCAGGAAACTGCATCAGTTGTTTATGTCTTGTTATCAGTTTTGTCTTGATTTAACAAACATAACAATACGAAACATACTTTCCTATGCTTATTTTAATGTTTCAGTTTTCAATGAAGTCTCCTTTGGCAAGTGAGTTTTTATCGAAACATACTTCTGGTCTCCAAACAGTAAAAGGATACCTGATAGGATGATTCCAAGGTTGATTTACATGATACAACTTGAGTTAGAAGATAACTGAAGTTTTGCTTGACCTGACTCTAACATCCTAGGACTGCAAACTGGAAATTACTCACACATGTGATCATTTCCATAATGCCCAAATAATATGAGGATAATGCCATGAATATGCTTAAATGCCATGAACCTACTTAAAAGCATGTATACTTTGCACTAGTTTGTAGATACGAATATTGACCACCTGAAATTTAATCACTTCTGATGAAAGCAACAGAGTAGTATTTGGAAACTATTCCAACCCATTTCCAATTTGATTCATCATTAATTTAAGCGATAGCCAGACCAGGTCACAGGGAGATATAATATACCAACAGAGGCTCCATGTGAGAATTTGAGTGTTGGTACTGAGGTGTAGTTTCAATGTCATGTCTATTTGTCAAGTTCAGTGAGAACTAATTTCTCTGAGGATGTAAAATTCCTAGGTTTTTGGTTCATTTTAAGATACCTACTATCCACTCTGATTATCATGCACAGCTGCACTTACGTTTCTGAGGATATATTTTCACAGAGTGTTATGGATGTGTCAATTTTTTACCAGCAAACAATTTGATGTGATGTTCAATATTGATTTAACAAGCAATTTAGGCGGAAATGTAATTTTTCTGATTAAAATTGTCAAAATATATTCCATACAAATACATTTTCAAACAAATTTCACTTTCACAAGTTACTGGAAGCAGTTAATCATAAACCAGTTTAGCCTTTGAAATACATTTCAGTGACTAATTTTATCTCAGTAAAAGTAATCACTTTTACTAAATGAAGAGAAGGTCATGGAATCCTTGGCAAAACATTAATCTTAACCTTCACTTTTAAGAACAAACAAATTTTTGACCAAAGAAACAAAAAATGTCTTCAGTGTCTCATTGGGGAAGCTTCACTTTGTAAATTGTACAGTTATTACTATGAAGATGCATAAAGAGTACTAAAGTTAGAACAAAACTGCCTCTTTACTTGCTGAACAAAGTGGTGTTTCAACTTTGTTACAATAGCTGCTGTGGACACTTCAGTATACAGGCATACAGGATTTTTTAGGGTCATGGTTTCAAGTTTTCATGAAGTGATTTGGCTCTAAATCGTTTAGAAAGTCCAACCCTGATTGGTCTCCTGCAAGTCCTTAGTGGGTAAATTGTCAGCAAAGTTTCCTCTTCTGTGATAGATGGGAAGAAAATATAATCGTAATATCAGTTTGCTTACACTTAAGAGAAAAGTTACTGCATCAAGGGAAACAACTCTATCCAGATTATCCTATTTCAGAAGATGAATTTCTTTGTGCCCTAGATTTTCAAATGAACATTTTTGAAAAAGAATAATGGGTGTTAAGTTTAAGAAAATGAATAGATTTTTATCATTATATGACGGAAATTATTCTGAGAAGACAATAAACTTACCACATGGTTTTGAGTCTTTAGGTCCAGGTGATATGTCATCAAGGCAAGCTGAAGGTGCATATTTCCACTTGAAACATGGTGATGGAGCAGGGACCTGTACACTTGTTTGATCTGCAAAAAACAAATTTTCCAAACTATAGGAAATGAAAGCAAGTACACTGAGAAAAACACCATTTGACAAACATGCAACATAAATATTTAACAGAACAACAAACTAAACTAACTACGATAATAAAATATTGTCTCAGTACTGTTTTGTTTAATTCATTAGTTGAAAATTTGTAAACCATAAAATCAGCAACATGTGACTTGAGCTGTGCAGACAATCCTGAAATAAACAAGAAGACAAAGTCATCAATATCCCCCGCAATGGCAAAATACTCTTCATGATTATGTCTACGAGTTATGATTATGTCAAATATTTAGGTGTGTATATAGAAATATTTAGGTGTGTATATAGAAAAGTGGAAGGAGAGTATTGAAAGGTTTTTAAAGTTCTGCTCCAGAAAGCAGCACTATCACCAATTTCAGTCAAACTTGTTGCCATGGAAATGCCAAAAATATTTTATTCAGAATTCCAAAACTACCAAAAGGCACCAGTACACCACCAGACCAATCTATGTGCCAAGTTTGGTGAAGAAACATTGAACGGTTTTAGAGTTCTGCTCCGGAAAAGAGCACTACTACAATTTCAGGCTAAGTCAAACTTGTTGCCATGGAAACGCCAAAAATATTTTATTCAGAATTCCCAAACTACCAAAAGGCACCAGATCTATAAATTATCAAGCTTTGTTTTCAAGAGTTAGTGGGTGAATGAGTGAGTGACTGAGTGAGTATGACTATGGTTTTAATGGGCTTCACACATTGTACCCATGTGGGGAATCCAACCATGGTCTTCAGGGCGAAGATGATGTACCTTTAATCATTTGCTTGTAGTCACCCCAGTTTGAAATACAATAAAAGAGAAATTGACATTCAGCTTCTAGAATGGCAATCAATTGCAAACAGTTAACAATAACCATGATTTTTAAAGGAAGATCTCTGTTGATTCGCCAATCATATACTCATAGAAACGAATATGGGACAAGACTAGTGTTCTGAGCACAGCATTGGTTTCACGTATATCTATTTCATTTGAGAATTTGTATTAGTGACAAAGACCATAACTCAACTGATTTATGAAGAATTGTATGTATTACAGTTAAGTTTGAAATCTGATAAAATAATGACTGGAATACATTATCTAAAGCCCAAATACAAGATTGCTCTGCAAGAACTAACCACAGTTCAAACCATACTTTATGCTAAATAGAATACATAGCGTGAAGAATACACAGAAGTCATTAAAGAAATGAGTAAGATGTAATTTTAAGTACTGTACTTTCTCTTCTTGCATACAAAGCAAATACATTGCAGTAGTCAATATCTTAACATTCAGTTGTACTGAAAAGTTAGTGGGACTGTGATGAAACTGTTAAAATACATTAACCTACCTTTTATGGGGAGTGTGTCTTCTTCATACATCACTACATCTGATTCATCTGTGGGCAGTTGCAAGTCGTGTGGAACAGTATGGTCATCCCCAGGGTGTGCTGCTGATAGCCCCTCCTCCTCTGGAACAGGCCTCTGATCAATAGGGTCCGACCCATAATGCTCAGTTGTGTCTCTCAGGTATTCAGCAATACTGGCTTGTGAAAGTGAAGCTGTAAACTGTTGTGTGCATAAATACTCACTTTCTTCACTAACAGGGTCCTTGGTGCCTGTGTTATTCATTGGCAGGGAGAATGCTGAACATGCTGAGTTTCCTTGTGTTACATGATCACCTGTCAAACATGTAGACCCCACCTCTGTAACAGAACTGACATGTTCTGTTGAGCTTGGGAGGGAACAACGTAATCTTTCTTCGATTGAGTATGTCCAGTATTCATTTTCTGTCTGTGTCTCAACTGTTGGCATGTCAAGATGAATATTACCTTTTGATTGATTTTGCAGTGGTGACAGATCTCTAAATATATGTGGACTTACCACTGTCTTGTTTCTGGAAGAAAATCCATTTTCATCAGCACCATGAGAATGTACCATTTCAAACTGAATGTTATTTAGACTACATGACCCATCCTCGGAGTGATTTTCTTCAACATTTTGGGCACTTATAGTTTCAATGTCATTTTGTGAATTGTTAAAGTTTGAGTATGCTTCCATCAAATCATTTTCTCTTATATAAATGTCTTCGCTCTGGGCAACTAATCCTTCTTCTTCAAATGGAGTAGACATATGCACAAAGGGTCCCTCTTCTATCAATGCACTACCACCAGCACAATCTGTCAAGTTTTCACTTGATAAAGGAGACTGTTCAGGAACCTGCATTTCTCCTTGATCAAACTGTGCATTACCACTGATCAAATCTAGTTTTGTCAATTGAATATCTTCAACATGGATTTTTTATTCTGCCCAAAGTTATCATTTTCTAGGTTTTCACCTTCATCACAGGAACGGTTGTCCAGAGTTGGTTTCAGTGGTGATAGTGATACCCTTTTTCAGTTTCTGATAAGTTCTTACTCACCTGAGTATACTGCATATTGGGATCTGTTGGCTCTGGAGAATCTACAATGAATTTCCCAGTTTTATGTGTGCTTTTCTCAGATGAATGCATGACTAATGCAGCAAGATTTTCATGAGACCTTCTAATATCCTGCTGGATGTTATCGTGGAAAGGCATGGCCACAGAAACTTGGCAATCTGCAGAGGGTTCACTGATGGTCTTCATGTGACTGATATTGGCTTCATTGATTGTACTTGGTTTTGTGTGGCACGAATCTCCTTTCAGACATTCAGCAAGTAATGTACACTCAGTCACTTCACTCTCATTTTCTGCTTTCAGATCCAAAATGTTCCTCCCTGAGGCACACTGTTCTTCATACTGATTGATGCTGGCGTGTGAATTTCCATAATCCATCTCACACACTTTTGAACATTTTTCTAAAATATTGTCTAGGGTTATCCTGACATCCTCCTCAAGATTCCTGTCAAATCCATCAATCATGTCATCATTAGATATTTTCTCTGCAAACTCACTGCCTGCAGTGAAACTGGTCTTCACAGGAGCATCAATGCCTACGTAAATGACTGAGTGTCCTTCATATTCTCCTTTCTTTTCCCTATTTCCACATAGTTTAAAATTGTCCATTTCTAATTCATGAGAATGATCTGAATTGTAATGTGAACAGCTATTCTCTATAACATACTTCAAAACAGAATTATTTCCTGCCGTCTCATTCGTAGTTTGCTTCAGAAAATCAGTATTCTTCCCTGAAGCCATTGTTTCCACTTTATCATCAACTAGAGTACAAGGGTTGTTGCTCTCATCATAATCAGATACGTTCTGTAAACATGTAGGCATCAGGTTTAATTTACAAGCAAATTTTATCTGATGACAAAGTGATGGGCTTTCCTGCAAGACACATTTGTTGGCACTTTCGTCTTCTGATTCATATTCCTTGGAAATGGAGCACTGTGACAAACTTTTTTCACACTGGCTTACCTCTTCGCAATACATTTCATCAAGTTTGTCAGTACTGATAGATACAACAGGATCAGTTTCCACACTCTTCAATTTCTTCTCTGCAGCCTCTGTTGTTTCTTTCCCTGTTTCCACAGAAACCAAACTTTCCTCCTGACAGTTTGATTGAGAATTACTACAAACCCTGTTTTCTTCATCGTAAAAGAAAGTTGTTACTGTTTTTGATACTTCATTCAAGACATCATTTATTTCAGCTTCCCTGCAAGCAAGTGTCATGGCAGAGCAACCATCTTGTGGTGTGTTGAAAGGTACATCTATCGATACAAGTGGAGTCTGGTTAATTGAATCATCTCTTTCAAAACTGATCTTGCATGTGTCCTGGACATTGGTTACATAACAACCATCACTAAGTATTACCTCTTGGGAATTGCTTGCCTTGAAAGTAGTTGGTGGAGGCAATGAAATGCTGTCATCCGTAATATGCACCATGTCATGTTTGTGCACAGGGATGATATCAAAACTGTTTGAATTCATGATTCAAAAGCAGTTTCCCTCACATAAACCAGGAAATCCACTTTGAAAAAGTACAATACCATGCCACTGATGTAAATTCTTCCTGTAACATAAAACATTTAACAAATCTGACTTGCATACATCTTTTGATAATAAGACATCAATAAAATGTATGTCCTTAACTATACCTACTTCCTTATTGCAGATATCTGCACAATAGGCTATCGGTTAGTTTCATACTAAACACCTGTCATCACTGCTTATGAGTAAGTGAGTTAAGATTTAGAGTCACATCGGCAATATTTCAGCCATACTGTGACTAAAACAAGATATACATTAATAATAAAAAAAGTTATGTCATAAAGTCTGTAAACAAAGGACAGTAAAACAACTAGGTTATCACAGATAGAAACTTAAAACTAGCATGTAACTTCAAAAAATTACAGGACAATACAATATAAAAAACGAGGTATGGTCACCAGTAACTGAAGGTAGAACACCATACTGGGGACTATGGGGACTAACAGTACTTTAGCTACCAGCATGGACCCTAGCTGGACTTACATCATCCTACATCCTGGAATTAAATAATAAAACCCCACCAGAAGAGTGTTGTCTGAGACCCAAAAGGATAGAACCAAAGGTAGAGGAAGAGGCAGCCCCTTTCAAGCAACCTCACAGACACATGCCTCCTGGAATGTTTTAGGAAGTTAGAGAGCATCTTCATAAAATGTTAGCCTGTGGAGCAATCAGGGAATCTAACAGTCCATTTTCATTTAACGTCGTGCTTGTTCAAAATAAAGACCAGACTCTGAGATTCTGTCTAAAGTTTTGCTGCCATTTGAATGAACAAACCATTAAAGATGCTTATTCCACCCTAAGGATACTGGAAACTCTAGATAGTCTGTCTGGACTTCATTGTTCTCAAAGCTCGACTTACATTCTGGATATTGGCAAGTGGAAGTGAAGGAAGAGGATAAGGAGAAAACAGCATTCTCCATAGCCCCACTTGGATTCTATGAGTGTAATGATGCCCTTTAGACTGACAAACGCTCCAGCCACCTTTCAACATCTAATGGAAAAGTGCATGGGTGATCTTAATATGCCTAATATACTTGGATGATATTAGTATCTTCACCAGAACTTTTAAGCAGCATTTGCAACGTCTGGAAGCTGTATTTCAACGACTGAAGGTGCAATGAATTGAAGCTGAAACCTTCCAAGTGTGAATTCTTCAAGGATTGAGTAAAGTACTTGGGACATGCAGTATCCATAAATGGAATTGAAACAGATCCTGACAAGATTGCTGCAGTCAAGAACTGGCCATGAAATATACCAAAGGATATCAATGACATGAGAAACTCCTCGGATTCACGGGTTATTATTGCTGTATTGTTAAGAACCTTGCCAGCATTTCCTGACCCCAAGAAGAAAAGAAAGAATGTTAAACCAGATCCAAACTGGAGGTGGGAGCAAAAGCACCAACAGGCCTTTGACTTTCTGATCAAGCATTTGACGTCCCTACCCATCTTAGCGTATGCAGATTATTCTCTTCCTTTTGAGGTCCACACAGATGCCAGCACAGCACTCAGAGCTGCTCTGTTTCACAAACAAGAGGACAAGATGAAAGTTATTGCTTTTGCTTGTCGTGTATTGAGGAAAAATGAAAGAAACTATCCTGCTCATATACTGGATTTCTTTGACTCAAATGGGCAGTCACCGACTGTTTCACAAGTACCTCTATGGGAACAAGTTTGAAGTTAAGACTGACAACAATCCCCTAACATATGTCTTGACCTCTGCAAAACTTGATGCAACAGGACACAGATGGCTTGCTGATCTCTTATAATATGGTTTCATCATTACCTATCATGCTGGAAACACAAACTGTCAACTCGTCCAGATTACTCAGGGAAGACATAGAACCATCAGTCATTAATGATTAAGGCCATCAAATTTGTCAAGCTCGCCAAACTTCTGGTACTGCAGCTGAGGGCTCTCCTGTGATGTGGACACTGTATGCCCAGATGAAGCCCTCCCACTGGCTTTTATCTACATTGTCATGGAAGCAAGAGCAATTCAGTCGATCGAACAGGTACAACACTTTTACAACCTTGGCCCCTGACCAACCTCTTGTCAGCGCACTTGCTTGGTTATAAAGAATGACATCTTACATCGACAACTTCTTAGGTCTCTTCACAACTACCCTGGACACCCTGGACAAGGACAGGATAGAACCCTCAGTCTTATTAGATCAAGATTCACGAAGACGTATGTGAAGAATTGTGGAAGTGCCTTGACTACTTAAAGCTTGAGGAATCCAAGCAGGTTCTGAAAACATCCTAGTCATAACGGATCATTTTAACCGTTACATCAATACCATCCCAACTCGCAATCAATCAGCCAAGACTACAGCGAGAGTACTATTTTACAATTACTCAGTACACTACAGATTCCCAGCTAAACTCCACAGTGATCAAAGGAAGAAACTTTGAGGGGAATATCATGAAAGAGTTGGGTCAACTAACTGGAATCCAGAAGACAAGAACGACCCCATATCATCCCCGGGTAAATGGTATGACTGAACATTTCAATCAGACTCTAATGAACATGTTGGGCACTCTGGACCAAGAAAAGAAATCAGACTGGAAAACATGTTTCTCCCCCTGTACACTGCAATAATGCAACCCGACATGAAAGCTCAGGATTCACGCCATTCTACATGTTTGGACGGCATCCAACTCTCCCAATATATGCTTTTCTGGGAACAATAGTTTGAGAAGGACATGATACTCACACCTGTTATACTCAGAAGCTGAGGACACGACTGAGATTCACCTACGACATTGCCTCCATGTAAGCTCAGAAAGCAGGTCAATGCCAAAAGCATCAGTACTACAAGAAGGTCAAGGAGTCCTACAGGGATTTACATGGAGTACTGTATTTGAGGGTCCCTGGGACTCATACTCTTAATTTTCAGGGGTCCTGGACAACAAAATGGGGGTCCCAGACACTTAGATATTATTATTAATACTGCTATTGTATTGTGTATCATGATCATCACATTGTTACAGTAATTAAATTGTAAATAATACCATAACCCAGCTAGTAGCAAACTCAGTGATAACCTATTTTCACTTGATTTGAATTTTACAAAAAGTATTTGGACTTTTTCTGTGCCCTGTGGACGCGCTACGCGCTAATAAATTTTGTTGCATCCATTGTAAATTTTTATGCGTAGAGGATGCAGGAATTCGCGTCCTGTAAATCCCTGGTCCTATCTTCAACCTGGTGACAGAGTGTTAATATGACTGGTTGGACTGACAAGTGTACCAAGGATGTTTAAATACAAATGTGAAACAACCGAATTTTGACATTCCAGTCTACTATGTAAAGTCAGAGAGTAGTCAAGGCACATTGAAGACTCTCCAACGCAATATGCTTCTGCCACTTGGATTTGTTTCTTCTCCAGTAGCCCAAGCCAGGAATTGACCACAGCAGAACTCCAGAAGCAGCAAGAAATCAACCTCTCTTCAAGAGAAGGAATATTTTGCAACTGATGGGGCTTCTAAAGAAGACGGTAAAGGGGAAATGTAACTGCTTCCTAGGCTTAGGATGAGTGAAGCCCATTTCTGGTGTCCCCCGTCGTGATGTTGCTGGAATATTGCTAAAAGCGGCGTAAAACCAAACTCAGTCAGTCAGTCAGTCCTAGGCTTAGGCATGACGTATGACCTGGGGATTTTGTTTCAAGTGCCGAGTCTGAAATTCACATATCAGGCAATGATTACATTCCCAGTGATCTAATTACTGAGCACAGTTCCTTCAGACTTGCCAAGGACTCCGAAGCTCATGTTTCCCTCATATCAGGTGAGAGAGAACCACCGGTCCTAAGAGCCAGCTTCCTTGCACTCAGCACTTGATACTGTGCAAGATTCCTCAGTAGCAGCTTCATTGCCTGATAGCAACTTTCTCCCAGGTTCTGTTACCGTTGATTAGACCTTCCAGTCGAATTCCAGTGTTCCTGAGGAACATGCAGATGCTATCGTCTCTCCTGTCAGCATCGTTGGATCTCCTCCAGACCCTACCCAAAACGACAGTCTTTGGTCAAGGAGGCCTACTCGACAGAGGACATGTCCTGCTTTGATGAGGAGTGGAGAGTGGGTTACCAACTTTGCTACAGCAGTAAACAATCCAGCCACAACCAACAAAGTTTTTGTATAGTACCATTGTAGACCCGCATCCCCCAAAATGAAAAAGACAAACATGAAGCACTCGGTCATTCAGTATCTTGTGTGCCCTCCTCCTTATCAAGTTCACAACGAAAGCTTACGGAATCGCATTGCATTCCCCTACTAGAGCTCTGCGGAGTCCTGGGAGATCCACTGGTGTTGGGTGACGTGCATGATGGCCACACCATCCGCCTCTACACCCTGCTGTCTAAGCAATTCTGTGACAATCCTAGACTATAAGGCCCAGTATTGTCGTCTTGCAGTAAAGAAGGTCGACCATAAAAGCCATGCAAAGCTTGCACGAATGGTACCTCAATAGGAGCCAGAATCTTGTCCTGATATCCTGTCAGATTACCGTCAACCACGTGCAGTGGAGTACGTCCAACAGGAGCTATCCCTGCCCAAATCAGGACCGACCCCCCATCAAATGGGTTATCATACGGCGTGGCCACAGTTGCACCTGTGATTCGCTCTCCATTGCGACGCTAAATCTTCTGACGACCATCATGGAAGGATAAACTGAATCTGCTTTCATCTGTGAAGAGCACACGAGACCATTGACTCTGATTCCAGCAGCCATGATGTCTACTCCATCTCAAACACGCCTGCCTGTCACGTGGTGTAACACTGCCGCTGTTACAGGTCATTGGCTCCCTCCCTCTGCAAGCAGTTTGCGTTCTGCTGTTTATTTTGTTGACAGTTACATAGACAGATTCTTTAATACAAATGCATAAAATCTGTGATTTACAATGTGATTAGGTTGTCTGACAAAACATCCACTTGCACAGTTTGAGATCGATTGGGTCATTGGATGAAGAGATATTTACAAAAAACCGGGTCCACATGCATTTCATGCCAAACTATAGTGGTGGACGAACTGCAGGTCACCTACAGTGGAGTCCGGCTGCCATCAAACATCAATGAACGGTACTCCAGGATATCCTTACATTGTTAACATTGAAGTGTTCTGTCTGAAGATCTCCTGCGCAAAGAAATCTGTTACGTAATGCAGTGTTAATCATGTGCCTACCATCTCGGACAGTTGTGACTCTGGGGTGACCTGGTCGACGTGCATATTCCACGGACCCATTGGCTTTAAATCTCTGCCACAGTCTACCAATAGCACTCTGCCTCGCATTAAAGCAGACAGCAACCTGCCGTTGAGTTTGACCAGATTCCAAAAGGTCTATAGCCTGACCCTTTCAGCAAGTGTCAAAAAAACTCTCATTATAAGCTGCGATTTCAAACACGTACCTCAACAGTGAACGACAGTGAAAAAGCGTCAAGGCATGTATATTGTTCTCCACTTTCCATGGATATAGTGACTTGCACATGCAAATCATTGACATTAAGTGGCAGGTGGATTTCCATATTGAAAATTTGAATAAAAAATTAGCCATTTGTATCAGAATGTATCGGATGTTAAAGAACTTAATAACGACATTTTAACAGCCTAATGTGTTTTCCATACTGTTAAGAAAGTTTGTAAAATATTCAGTTGTATATATTTCAAACAAAAATGAAGATTTTACAACTTTTAAGAAATATCGTTACCAATAGCTTGACCCTTCATTAATGACAGTGAGTATATAGAGTTGTGTTCATTAGTTACAGTTATGTGTTGCTCAAGTTGTTGGTATGTCTGTTTTCGTTCAGTGAGATTAGCGTCATTGACAGTGGCGTTGTCTGTTGTGGAATTCAGTGGGGCTCAGTTCATTCATTGATTTCTTGTCTTTGTATCATTAGCCAGTATCCCTTATCGTAGTGACTTCTCATTGGTCCTTCATTTTACGTGTTGGGGACAACATTTTCTGAAGGGGGGAAATATGTTGCCGGCAGCCGTATTTCTCGTTTGTTCTGTCCTAAGGCTGCATCTACACTATCTAAAAAAAATGAGTTGTACGTGCTACTCATACTCTGACTCACAACCAATTCATGGGCTGCTGCCTGTGATATAATGACGATTTGAACTGCACATTCTATTGTCACCTGTCCATGGTGTCCTGTCACTGTGGCGGCAGACAGATATCAACATTTCCTGATGCTGATCTTACTTATTACAGGCTAATAAACAGCTTTTTAGAAAACTCTTGGAAAATAAAGAATCCTGAACCAGCGACATTAACAATCTTGATATTTCAAACTGACAGAAAAACATATAGTGCCTGCAGAAGACACTCGATCTACAAACAGAATTCACAAGTTCACATTATAGTTGAAAATTTAGAATCAATATGAGTTTATACGCATATGTTTAGATAACATGCTGTTTACTTTTGTGGCATAGATGAAAGATGGCAAGAACTGCTTAGGATGTTTGCTCCCCTCATCTATAGAATTATGTCAACTTAGGGCCCATACTCACATTTTTATTGGAATATTAATTGTATATCTACCATAATCTACTTTGAGAAGAAAGGTAAATACAGCTTAGTGCCAAGGAAATTTCAATGAGACGGTTGAATTGTGGTTGGATATCTCGAGGTCAGCAACCTAATTAACCTCTGTTGTTTAATAAAAAATCTCGTTACGAAATATGAGAAACAAACGTGATTACATATCACTGTGACTGAAATCTTCACGCGGTCAAATTTCAGATTGTAAAATGACTTATATGGTTTCACTTCATAGGGACGTTTCGTGAATAACAAGCTTACATTCAAGTTTGTTTATACAAATTATTGTCCTAATCGTAATGTTGTTTTTACCTGATATTACCCAAAGGTTACATCGACCGTACACATCTTTCCTTGCAACTCCTACTGGTCGTACTCCTGTTCTTTTGACAGCGAACTGCTAGCAGACGACACATTAGTGACGTAAAGCACGTGGTTTGTTGACCTTGTAATGAGGTCAGACTTTTCGGAACAGGTGCGCGTGTCGTGTCAATGCAAAATGCAGAAGAGGGGGTAACGTGAAGTGAATAATGTAGAGTTATCAGGGTGTTTAAATAATTGCTGCATTATGTTGTTTTGATTTGGTTCACCGTTAGTTCTCTCAAGTTTGCACTGCACGTGGGTTTGTTTACATGATATAAATAGCCATCGCGTTGCAACGAGATTTTCATTACAGTGAAATTTACGGACATTATTCAAGTTGGCTCCTATTATATTTTCTTTTGGTGGTGATTTCCATTCCTTTAAAAGTACATTTAGGTGTTATAAGCGCATTACTTCCTCACCTGCTGAAGCTCATGTTACCATATTTGGGAAGTGCTTGCGCTTGACCCGGAAGAGAAATGTAACTTGTCCTCAAATGGCCGAAGTTGTGTGAGGATTGAGTGCATGGATCTGGAACGATTGATGATATAAACATTCCCATTTCAGCGGTAACTACGTGTACATATAGGTAGGAATTCTATCATTTAGAATTTATATATGTTGTATTATCATTGCCTTGTTTGTCGAAGGAAGCACACGGCGTGCAAGCTAACGGCGCACTGTATGCGAACTGGCGATCTCAACTTGCAGTTCTGAGTTCAAGTGTTTGCTGTTCTGCGTATTTTTCTGTCATTTTCTAAGTATGAAGGTTGTTATTAACCCTCGGATATTATGTATCAAGGCGTTTATTATTACAACATTATTATACTGTGATTTCCACATTCTCATTACGCCAATTAACATATCCAAATGTTTTGTGGAGAGATAACCCAACGCGGAAGTGATGACACAAACTAAGTTTATCCTGTAAATACAAGTCGAAGGAAATATCAAAACTGTTCAATTCGACGGTGACCATTGCACTGTCACCACCCCAGCTTTCGCTTCACTGGTTTTATGTGTAATTTATGTCAGGTTACTTTTCTTAACTTTTCAATTGTGTATTATTTAAATGTTCACATTTGCAGGAAAGTCTATATCCCTGTATTTACATAGGGAGTAAACCTCGAAAATATGCATCCTTACTTTGGCAGAACAGTCGGTAAAGAAAAATAATTCATTTCTGAATCCCAGTGGCGTACAGTACATCAATCTGTTCAAACGCACACACTTAATATATATGTAGAAATTCTGAATTCAGGAGTTAATGTTTTCTTCACACTCAGACTGCACAGCAAGCTCTGTGTGAAAATTGGTGTCTCAAACTGTGCAGGTAACACTCAGACTGTGTTTGAGAGGTGTTTTGACATTCCTCAAAACCACACCATAACTTAATTGTCATCAACATGTGTTTAGGGCTGTGTCGATACAGAAAGACAAGATACACCTGACAGCATTTGACTTATCTCTGATACATTATCTTGATCCTCTATGAAGCGTAATAGCTCAACGGTTGATACTATGATGGCAGAGTATGCAGTCCACCTAAGCTGCACCTGCTTTATTTGAAGTTTCCTTAATGTTAACATTGAAGGTTTGCACTTAGTGAGTAATACTTTACCTTGAGCAAATGTAATCAGTAGGTGAAGATCACCAGTCACCTTGACCTTGTGTCCATAATGCAATACCTGCGCCAGTAAAGTTTGTGTTAGAATTTTCTTTTTTGTTTGCGACCCAAGACCCTGATTGTGTGATGCAGGTTTCTTTAACCTAAGGATAGTATGACAGTTACAGTCGACTGATCAGTGTGATGGAAACACTGAGTTATTCAAGAAATCTGTATGTAAAGCAATATAATGTGAAACAAACAATGTAGAAAATGTATTTGGATTAACAATTGTATTATGTTACTCTGTTTACAAATCAATACAAATTACTGTGAAGTAATTACAATGGCAATACAAAATGTAGTCGGAGTAAAAAATTCATTGTCAGTATAATGATATTGGCAGTATAAAGTAGAATAGCTTTGTTAAAGTTGAAGAAGTCAGTGACGATAATATTCGCCTTAATAGCCAAAGTTATTAAGCTTCCAAAACAGGCCCAGGCTGGATATCCAGAGTGACAATAACAATCTTCACTGACTGCTGGTCTTCATGTAATGCGAGATACCATCTACATACAGTGTCAGTCTCTTCAAGAACATTTTATAACATGCTGGATAAGACTATGCCAGATAGGTGTTGAAGCTTCCAGGTTACAAACTGACAAGTCTAAATATAGCAACAAGCACACCACTGGAGAATGTTAACAGAAGCTATGTACTACAATTACAATACTGATTTACAGTGAATTACATTGCTGGGCAATAATGATACTTGATTCCATCAGGTTGGGAGTGATACATTCTCTTGAATAATAGAGATCAAAATAGTTAGAGATTAAAGTCATGACACGACATACAGAGTTCAGATGTCTCTGTATTGGCTAGAGCGTTAAGAACATCTCATTTCTGTATCTTGAAAATAGACATAACCATGCAGTTCTGAATGGAATATAGTAAATTCCACAGTTGTGTTTGTGTATTTTGTGATGGATATTTTATGAAGTGGCTTTTGGTTCAAAATATCATGGTACTAACACCCAATGAGTACAATACCAAGAATTTTTACAAGATTGCAATTTCTTAAGTGAGTTGGTAAAACTAACGGGAACTTTCAGAAAGCTTATATACAACTTGCCTCCAACCTTTCTTTTTCCACCCTTTCCGACTCTCATTTTTTTTGAAAGTCATAGTTTGCTGATGGTTCACCTGCTACTGTCTCCCATGGCTGTTCAGTATGTCTTTGCCAGATCGTATCAGAGTAAACAATTTGATTTTGATGAGATCCTAGACAAGGCACAACTCATCTTTTTTCTGTCCTCTTTGAGGTTGACTTAATACATCCCAAAAGCACTGCATCCTGAAGGATATTGTTATTTACTTATTTTCTCAGAATGATATATCTTGTGACCTAAATGGCAAGATATGATTAAATCTGGTTCCTTCAGCCTGCTTATCAAGACAAACTAAGTGAGTGTGCAGGGCGACATCATGCAGACTTTGTCCTAGAGTGTTTGGTAAAGGAATGTAACTAAAAAATAGGTGTCAGGTAATCATATCACATTGAATAAGATTAAATGTAAATGTCATCATTTATTTTACAGTTACTGTATTCTTAAGTTAACAAATGTGTTGATTCTTGAGTACACAAAACATGACCATCCAGTCAGTCTTCCAGTGTATATTCTATCAGCCTCATGACATTTCACGTGTCATGGCACTGCATACCGCTGTGATACACATGTTACCTGCCTGATGCATCAGATATATCCAAAGTCAGTCTGGTGCTCACAGCTGATCAGTTTTTCTAACAGTAGCATTGTCCAACTGACATGGCTGGTCTTGAGACATGCATGCGGTTAAAGGTCAACTGTCATGTTTAGTTAAACATGGTCTGAACATTTTTAACACTAAATTTGGTTTGTAGGTTGTGTAAGAATCTTATGTTGTTGATGTGGTGTTAAGACGTTTATGAAGGTTTATGAGGTGAATAAAGTAAATACTGCCACTATTGTTCAATCATATTCATTTTACTGATTGGTATGACATTGCAAATTTCAAATTTCAAATTCCAAGTTTGTTAATACATGTTAGTCGATACCTGAATTTACTGTAGAGTTATGATGTAGATTTTGTCTGTGCATAGTAATTTAACTATATTTTGTTCAGGGTACTGAATCCACTAGAGGGGTGTGCACATCATACTCTGGTGTGCACAAGAAAATATGGTACCTAATGTATGCATAGACTAAGTAGAAGCCAACTGAATGTTTACTCTTATGTTTTGTAATTGTGTTGCCAAACATCCCTTATGTTCAGCAGCACTGGTCCTGTTGGTTCCCTGCGACTCCATGCCCAACGTTTCAGTTTAATGTACATACTTTATACCTATACTGGTCTGTGTGCCTAAAGCTGATCAGCTGTACCTGTTACGCACAACACACTGATTATTACTGTCTACAAACTGAAAGTGATGGAATAATTGTTTTGGATGTTAATTAGCATCTTACTTCCGTGTCTTCCATATCAGGTATATCAACCTGAGTGGATGAAAGTATAAGACCAGGATGACAGTGAGTGCTTGTTGAAACTAGGAGTACATATTGGCCTATATTTGTCAGTGTGGCAGCCTGTACTGATAGCCTTACCTTATCAAATACTTCCATGTGCACACATGGTGTTCATAATAGCTGTCTCTTGATAAGGCATGTAATTATGTATTTAATTACCTCTAATTATCTCTGTACTGAAACACTAATTGTTACAACTGATATCCAGGACAAGGCCATGTCATCTGTCACAGGATGAAATACACAATGCCATTTAGAAAGTGGTCAAATGTAACATAATGTATATTTGGGATTACACTTTCTAAGTAAAGTACAGATTCTAGTACTTTTTTTGGTTGAGTCCCATCCGGGATTTGAACCCACACCCTCAGAGTCACCGAATCGCCAGCACACAAAGTCAGACACCTAGACCGCTCAGCCACCGCGACTTCCACAAAAATGGAAGTCGGACAACTGGTAGTCTACACTGCTGACTTTGTGTACCCCTCTAAAATGGCATTGTGTATTTCATAGCTTACAACCAACACCTGTATGTACAAACCAATCGACACCTGTTTGTAAGAACACAAGAAACTCTCATTTCACATTTGGACATGTCCTATGTAACCAAAATGTAGGATATAGCCAAGACCTGTATGTAGGCTACAGCTACCCCTGGCGTATGTAGGCTACAGCTAACACCTGTATCTTAGGTACAGCCAGCACCTGTATGTAGGATATAGCCAACACCTGTGTGTAAGATACAGCCAACACCTGTATGTAGGCTACAGCCGACACCGGTATGTAAGGTACAGCCAATTGTGTGTAAGATATAACCAACACCTGTATGTACAAACCAATCAACACCTGTATGTAAGATGTAACCAACACCTGTATGTACAAACCAATCAACACCTGTGTGTAAGATATAACCAACACCTGTATGTACAAACCAATCAACACCTGTATGTACAAACCAATCAACACCTATATGTAAGATGTAACCAACACCTGTATGTACAAACCAATCAATACCTGTATGTAAGATGTAACCAGCACCTGTATGTACAAACAAATCAACACCTGTATGTAAGATGTAACCAGCACCTGTATGTACAAACCAATCAACACCTGTATGTAAGATGTAACCAACACCTGTATGTACAAACCAATCGACACCTGTATGTAAGATGTAACCAACACCTGTATGTACAAACCAATCGACACCTGTATGTAAGATGTAACCAGCACCTGTATGTACAAACCAATCGACACCTGTATGTAAGATGTAACCAACACCTGTATGTACAAACCAATCGACACCTGTATGTAAGATGTAACCAGCACCTGTATGTACAAACCAATCGACACCTGTATGTAAGATGTAACCAACACCTGTATGTACAAACCAATCGACACCTGTATGTAAGATGTAAC